CCTACACTATTCACCAAGTGTGTTATTGTAATGGCCACATCTGGCCGCTTGAAATCCTTTCCAGGGTCACGATATGTCGAGCGTCTTAAATTCGGCACCTCTGTTTATAAATAAATAAATAAATAGTATATTCTCGAATTTCCGAGACACACCAGACCAGACATGATCAACGTTTACAAGCAATTATGTTTCGCAACAAACACGTTGCTATGTATGTAATCGGCAGTAAGCCGAAAGTTGTGCAGGCGTTGGAAATGGTAAAATTAATCTTGAGGTATAAATTCGTCAAAACATGACGACAAGTTGGGTTCTAGTGTGCGTAGTGTAAACAGGCTGGGCAATCCGTTTGTAGAGAAAACTTGTCAGGAAAATATTACATTAGGATTCTGGTCGGCTTGTCCGTATGTAGTTGTGGGCAGTGACTTTATTCAGTGGCGAGTCACAGCCGCCACGTCGCAGTGCTGTTAAGCGGACATTTGTGGCTTTTTATAGGGAGAACGCTTGCCAAGCGCAAACCCATTACGTCCTGAAACACTGTCAGAAATCCGTTTGTACACTAATGTAAAACTGGCAGAGCAGCTCGTCGACTGATTTAACCCTCGGTTAACCGCCGTCAATTGCCTTCCAATTTCCTCTGTTAGCTGAACAGGTTATTTTTGGTCGGGGCGGCCATAATGGCTGAGGCCTATGGAGTGTTAGAACTTTGTCATCTTCGTGTCCAGGTGAGCAAAACGTCCGATTCTTGCGTCTAGATTTCTCAGGATTATGTATACTTCGCAGGAGTATGAAGGCATCATGTCCAGCTACCATTACTGGACGACGGACATGGTAGTGAGTGCATTTTTATCCACTTGTTGTACAGCCGTGTTCTATGTAGGTCCTTGTGGGTTTCTATGTCTGTCCCAGGCACAAGCTCTTTCACGGTCCGATTCAGATCCCCAAGAAGTTCCAGACCTCGGAGAAAGGGAAAGTGAGAGACAAACAGGGCCGCAAAGACAGACGTGGGAACAAGCATTATTTATGTGGTTTGGTCTAATATTTAGTGGAAACATATGATGTACAGTGTGTAACAATGATTATGCTAAAAGTGTATTTTGAATATTCATCGGAAGCAATGTTCTACAGGTTGGTTGCTACCGTAAACCTTGGATACAGAGCTTTGCGCCGTTGAGCAAAGAAAACACAGGAGCGGTTTGCTATGATGCAACTGTTGCTTGGGAAGATTCGCTGGGGAGCGTAGAATATGCTGACCCAGGGAAAGCCAGTGAGTCTGTTGGACTCATACATGGGTAAGATTCGCAAACATAGCAGCGAATAATTGAGGAATGAACACCTGTAAATGAGAAGCTAAGGGGCGTCTCTGTACTGACCAGGTGAGAGAGTGCCGAATTAAAAACTAAGAAGGGCTAATTGACAGAAGGACAGCGAATAGCCAGAATACATGCGTACATTAAAGTTGCTGAGGATATCAGAACCTGAGGACTAAACGCAGCAGCCAGAGTGCTATGGTAATAGTGCCAAGCTGGATAGAGCCATGGACTGCTAGCCCGAGACTTGGAGTACTGCAGGTAAAAAATGCCTAAGACAATACAGCAAGTAATGGGTGGATAAAAGTCTGGAAACGTGAGGCAGAAGAGTGGCTTACGCTGAATACCTGGATATGCTTGCACGACAGAAGAAAGCTAAGAGAGGTTTCGTGATAGAATGACAACGGACAAGTAAAGCGCATGCATACAACGAGGTTGTTAGATAGTTAGAGCATAATAGACTACGACGCATCGACGCGCAGCTAAGCAAATCATGCGGTGGTGCTAATGAAGTATAATTAAGGAGGCCTGAACCGGGCGAAGCCAGCGAGAGAGCTGTACTACAGTCAATTAGTTGTCGCGGATGAGCAATGGCATTTAGGTGCAGCCTTATAATTGCTAGTGGACACCTGATTAGGTCAGCAGACAGCAAGTGTATGTGACGCACGCAGTCCCAGGGATTAAAGCTTGGAGGGATAACAGTGTGGACCCTAGCAGCTCAGGATATGCGCATAGATGATAGTAACTTATAAATAAATAAATAAATAAATAAACTTTTATTCTCGACCATGCGAGACACACCATTACAGGCACGATCATGTTTAGCTAACAGTGTGATCAATAACGTACAAAAGTACATGTTTGGCACAACAATATATGTAAGTGTATGGGTGTGTATGCGTATGTAATTGTGTATGAATGTAGCTTGTCTTTGAATGTGCCGCAGCATTTTTGAATGTTTGTTGTCGTCAGGAATGTGAGCATAAGCGATGGATGTCCTTGGGTTGGATAGCACTTTCCGTATATCCACGGGCCAGGGATTTTATTTTGTGGCGAGTCACATCCGCCACGTCACAGTGTTGATAAACAGACATTTGTGGCTTTTTATAGGGAGAACGCTTGCCAGGCGAAAACCCACCACGTCCTGGAACACTGCCGCCGAACTATTTGCTGGAACGGATTAAACCCGAACCACCCAGCTGGCACCACGAGGAGGTTGTTCGGCTAAACACGAAAGCCAGAGGTAAGACGAGGAACAGTTAGGGTCGCTGTATGTGTGAGCATCAGGGATCAGCAATGGAATTTGCAAGAAGCCATTTAGTTGCTAGTGTATGCCCACAATTACCCATAATAAATCAGCAAATAGCGCATGTGTGTGACGCAGACAGTCACAAAAATGTTCGAGATAGAAGACTGCGGCTCTTAGCAAGCTCCAGAAATGCGTGAGCCTAAGACTACTAGTTGCTGCTAAGCAGAAGTGCTTAGGTTTAAGAGGATCGACAGAAAATGGCGCTGCGAGAATCTTTCGGTGGCCCGATGTAGCCAGTCCATTAGGCTGTTTGGTTACACGTGGATTGCTACAGTGTCACAGAACACATCAACAAGCCAGCGAAGGTAAGTGATACAGACAATCTGGAAGATTACACGATGGAGAAACGAGGAATGTCTCCTAGTAGCTCCGGATAGGCGCAGAGATGTGTGGAGCCTACAATGAATCTCTGCAGTAAACGTAACGAAGATAGGAAGAACGAAGGATAATTGTGCTAAGGGATAGTACCGGCGGACAACATCTGCATTCCATTGAGCCTTCTGGTTATTTATTAGATACGTACAGTGACAGAAGAAGTCAACAAACCAGTGAAGGTATGTGGTGCTAACAATTCAAGAGAGTAAGTAGGAGAGATCCAGAGTGGCTACTAGCGTAGATATGTATGCTAACTACTATGACTGGCTGAAGCTAAAAAGTGGTGACATAAGTAATGCGAAGAACTGCTAATGATACAAAGCGTGATAGAGAATATTCGCAACTAGCAATGGCATTGGGGTGTAACTTTCTAGTGGCTAGTGGATACTTAAAGTGTCCCAGAATAAGTCAACGGTCAGCAAATGAATGTGACGCAGGCAGTTAAGAAGAATGAAGGTTGGGGATGAAGGAGGGTGGCACTTAGCAAGCTCCGGGTATGCAGAGAGATACGTGGAGCCTACGATCACTAGTTGCTACCAAGTAGAAGTGCTGAGGTAAAGAGGATCGACAGAAAATGGCGCTACGAGAAACTATCAGTGGCCTGATTTAGCCATTCCATTAGACACTTTGGTCACTAGTGGATTCCTACAGTGCCACAGAACACATCAACAAGCCAGCGTGGGTAAGAGATACATACAACCTGAGAGATTACAGGATGTAGAAAAACGGAATGTCTCCTAGTAGCTCCGGATAAGCTCAAAGATATATGGAGCCCACAATGAGTCTCTGCAGTAAACGTAATGAAGTTAAGAACGCAGGATAATTGTGCTAATGGAGAGAACCAGTGGGCAGCAACGGAATTCCATTGAGCCTTTTAGATTTTTACTAGATACTTACAGTGACGGAAGAAGTCAACAAACCAGTGAAGGTATGTGGTGCCAAAAATTCAAGGGAGTAAGAGTTGGAGAGATACGCAGTGGCTCCTATCGCAAAGATGTATGCTACCTACAATGACTAGCTGCAGCTGAAAAGTGGTGACGTAGATCGTACGAAGAACTGATACTGATGCAAGGCGAGATAGAGCGTATCCACGACTAGCAATTGCATTGGGGTGAAGCCTTCTAGTGGCTAGTGGATACCTTATGTGTCCCAGAATAAGTCAGCGGACAGCAATGGATGTGACGCAGACAGTCACGAAGAATGAAGGTTAGGAATAAAAGAGCGTGGCT